CAGAAGTGTCCTAGTGCATGGTGGAAGAACAAACCCACACCTTCTACAGCACCTTTCTCTGGATGGAAGTGGTGGGGCGGTGCACCCTGAGTTTTGCTCCAGGCTCCAAGAAGTCTCCTTGCTCTTGACCTCCTTCCAGCAGGTCCTTGGATCCCACATTTGTTTTCCAGGGGCCCTCGCCTCCACCCTGGGAGCAGATACAGACCTTGTGGCAGAGTAGACTGCACCCTGCAGCTGCAGTTGATGTGTTAGCAAGAGCTGGCTGGAGGCCCAGCACGATTGGGCATGATGTACATGGGTGCTGGCCTCACCCTAACCTATCCCAAGCTTCAGAGACCAGCTCCCCGTACCCTACAGAAGTATTTCCAAGCCCTTCCAGCTCCTTGAAATCCAGGCCCAAGAACATGAGGCCCAGAGGGGAGAAAGCTTCTGTTTCACCTGTTAGGGACAGCTCCACTTCCCTTGAGACACGTCCACCTCTGCCTACAGGATGCAGCCTTGCCCTGATGTCCTGGTGCTGACTCTCTCAGAGTGCAGACTGCAGAGTCAGCTGGAGCACACTTTACAGTTGGAGACTCATGGGTCTCATCCCAGACCTTGTCAGATCATAGCAATGGGGCCTAGAATCTGCCGGGTCAGCATCTTCTTGGAGTCAGAAGTTTGGGTCTTAAAATACTCTAGGTTGGGGACATTGGTGCTGCAGTCTGAGCTTCCCAGCCTGTCACATCATGTAAGGAAAGGGGTGGGGGTTACCACCTTTCCTCACTCCTTCAGGTCTCGGCCGGGCTTGTGGTCTTTGATATGCTATGCGCCAGGTGTGGTCCAATTCCTCACCCAGGGCATTCCCCATCAGGAAATGTGACCTGGGCCACTAAACTCTGCCTAAACTGGGCCCTCCCACCCCTGGTCACAGGAACAATGAGGCTTTCTGCGCCTCAGCTTCTCCTGTGTCACTTCAGGGGCCAGCAAACAGTCTTCACTTTCTCATTTGCATAACCAAATAGTTGGGCGGAGTGGTTTCCCTGGAACAGAGGCCTCTGCACACAGCATTGTTTCAGACAGGCACCCATAGGCCTCCCAGGAAGGTGATCATGGAACTTATGGGGAGAGGGACACCCAGAACAAAGGTGTACACTGGAGTGGCCCAAGGCAGTCAGGGACAGGGCTCACCTCCTAGTGGGCCACAGATGTGTCTTTGTTTTCAGTTGTCACTGTGCTTTAAAAGAAATTGGACCCGGGCAGCACCGCACATGCTTGGCAAACAAGTGCAAGGTCCTGAGTTTGATCATTGGTCCAAAAAAAGAAAAATTGGACCAAGACTTTAAAGTCAAAAGTTTGTGGGGTGGGGAGTGTAGTTGAGTGATAAAACGCAGGTCTAGCATGCATGAGGTCCTGGCCTCAACCTCTGGCACCCCAAAAAAGTGAAAATAGAAGTCCAGATTTCCATCCTTTCTGGAAAAATCCAGAAGACTGATAGCACTGGCCCTGCCTCCTCCTCACAGCAACGGTGGCTCTGGAGCTGAATGGTGGCTGCCCCTGTGAGCCCAGCATGTGCTCAGGACCCTGAGGCAGCATCCATAGTACCCTGTGTAGTCTGCCCATCATCCTCTGACACTTGCTCAGCACCTTCTGCCAGCTGCGGTCTTAGGGAGCATGATTAGGGCTCCCATTATGCCCTGGTGAATGTGCTCTTTCATGATCCCTTTAGATGTCCAGACAGCTCAGGAAGCGCCTCTCTCTGTGCCCTGCTCTGTGGCCTGGCATTTTCCCCTCTTTCACCTGGGCTTGGCCACCTGGTGTGCTTCTCCTGGAAACTTGGCACCCACAGCTTCTGTGCATGCTGTCACCTGAACCGTTGCTTTCCTGTAACCCTGTTCTGCCCACACAGCCAGAAGCAGAGGGGGTAGCTTCCCACTACACTACCAGAAGCAGGGCCCAGGGAGTGGCTTCTGCCACCGAGGGCACCAGAGTCCCTTCAGGGTCCTCCCTCTGCTCCAGCCCCTGTGCTGAAATGTCCCTGCAGCTCACCTGGGAAACTGAGTTTGAGCACAGTTCCCATGTATATAGCCTCATCACAGGATTGTTTGTTAAGGTTTTAGAGGATAACCCTAACAGGTACTGGATGTAGTGAGCCATCCACAGGGTTGGGTACAGTCAAGCAGCCCTCCCCACAGGCTGGTCCCATGTAGTTTGAACATCCCGGCTACCAGGATGGTGAGCCAATAAATCTCTCATCTTCACATATTCTCAGTGTCAGGCATCAGATGAGATCAAGCTGTGGGGCCACCTCCGTCTTCTGTACCCCACCCACCTCTCCAACCCCACTTCCCAGAGGTGACTTTGGGACTTGTTCCAGCAACTCAGGCTCAGCCACCATTTGCCTCTGATCTAAATTGAAGCCCAGAGCCCTAGAAACAGGCATCTACCAGAAACCTTTTATTACAAATTCATTGCTGTCTCGCCTTACCCACCCTTAGGTTCTGGTCACGGAGGGGAGGAGGGGCACAAAGACACAAAGGCAGCCCAGGTCGGAGACACTGGAGGAAAGCAAGGGGCTGCAGAGGTTGCAAGGCCCCTTGGGAGAAGCTGGGATCCACATCCTGAAGGATAACATTGCCACTCCCAGCAATGCTGCAGGCTGGAAGGCTTAGTTCTCAGCAGAAAAGGTGTTGCACAGGAGGAAGAAGTTTCCTGATTCAAGACATGAAGCTTAGACAGCCAGCAAATGTTCAGTCACAGAGGAAGCAGCTCAACACAAAATGCTAAGTTTAAAAAGGTAAAAGATTGTGCACAGATACTGTGATCCCAAGCGGGTGAGGTCTCTGCATATCCACCTCTTTATGAACACTCAGACATAAACAGAAGAAACCCAAAGTGAAATACATAAAAGTCCACTAAACTTGTCCTTTATCATCACCTGTATTTTTCCTTTGTTCTTTAATGAAACTGCATTTCTCTTGTACCAGCATGTTTACACTGAAACAAAGCTGGAATGCTATGACCAAAGTAAGTGAAGCTGGTCTTTGATGAAAGGGACCAAATCCTGAGTCATTAGAGACATGTGAAAACTAACAACAGACACAGAAGGAAGAACTTTTTGGAGCCTCCATTTCTCCATAAAGAGCCGATTAAATGTTTCCAAAGAGTTTTAAGTGACTCATAATATTGGGTTAAAATCCTTCTATTTCATCACAAGTGAGAAAGGGCATGTGCAGTGGCTTCTTGGGGTTCCTGCTGGACCTTGGAGTTTGGGGTGCAGAAGGGTTGAGGCTGCCTGGGCAGCAGGCAGGATGGCCCCCCAGGTGGATCCCCAGGTGGCATGGCTCCCAGGCAGCTATGCAAGCCCTGCCCTTTCAGCAGGGCTCCCCACCTCTGTGGGGTGGTGGAATCCATCTGTCTTCTCCAAGGAATGAGGCCTCCTGAGGATGACCTCATCTTCACCGTCATCAGATCCCTATCTCCCCTCTTTGCACTGTAGTTCAGAATGCAGACTACAGTTTGGTACATAGGACCTGGTAGTAAAAAGAACGTTATTCCAACCTGACTGATTTTACTTGATCACAGCTAAACTCCCCTTTACCCAGGGCTGTGTCCTTCTCCAAAGTGACAGGGTCACTTCCTGCTTCTGCTCAGGACTTTCTGCTCTCCTCAGAGCCTCCTATTGGACTGGCTAATGAAAAAGAAGGCAGACGCTTTTCTTTCTTTTTGGTACCGGGGATTGAACTCAGGACCCTGTGCTTAAGAGGCAGGTGGCGGAACCATCGAGCTAAATCCCTGGCCCACTTCTCTTATTTTAAATGAGGGTAACTGGAGGTTTGATTACAGCGAATTTCATATTAACAATTTTAAGTATTTATTCTAGTGGCAACAAGAAATTATCTGTAGGAATAGCCAAGCATCTAAGTACCCATACTGACATTGACTTTTGGTTCAGACTTTAAAGGCCTCACTTTCCACCCCACCCCAACTGCTCTTTAATTTCACCCGTTCCTAGCTCTTTGCTCACTATAGAATGGGATTTTGAATGCTTCTGGCAACTAGGTGTTATTAGTAAGGCACAGTGCTTTGTTATTAGATTGCATTTTATTATTTCCTTAAGCTCAATGTATACCTGATATTGGAGACTCTCCCTGTGGGTTGAGGTTGAAAGACGCTGCAGATGATGTGGTTTTATTATTTTGGGGGCCTCTGTGCAGCCAGATGGGAATCCAGGCTGTGCGGCAGCCCGGTGTTGCCTCCTCCTGACTGGGACAGCCCAGGGTCCCTGCACCAGGGGCAATGATGATCATCTGCGTCTGTCCCGCCAGAGATCAGTAGGCATTTAACACAGATTTCCTAGCCTCTTCGCACAGTGGGTCTAGTTTACCATCACCTCCTAGGGAAATAGAACTATTTCTGTACAATTTGATGTTTTATTAGATCCACCTAGGGCTTCCATCAGGGGTACATTTCCCAAGGCCCCAGGCATGTACAATGTTAGCCAGCCTCAAGTGGGTTGCACAGCTTTTCTTTCTGAGCATAGGGAGGCAGGTGGGAGCTGGGCCAAAAGCCCCCCAGGGCACAGGAACCCCTAGAACACTGCAGATAATGCCACACAGGGTGCGCACATGACTCTAAAGGTCTTGGCAAGTCCAGACCAAACAAGCTAGTGGAACAAAAGTCACATTGAAAGCAGATAATAATAAAACACACATTATTAAAGTGCAGAAAAACAATTATCATCAAATTCCATCATCTATTTGAAGTCAGGGCTTAACTTCATTTTCTTTCCTCGTCTATTTCCAGAGTCTGGGAAGAGGTCAGAGTGACAAGGGCTCTGTTGTGTGTGGTTTCAGATCTCCTCTGTGGGCCACAGTATGGGGCTTCTGGTATGAAGGGGGAACTCAGAAAGAAATCCAGCTTGACACAGGCAAGACACATTGACCATTTGAACTAGAAGTGGGGGGCTTCTTGGAGGAGGCAAAAGGCTAACCAGAAAGATCATGCAAGAGAAGACTTACCGAACTCCAAGTCTGTAATAGTGCACTGGAAGACAACATCTTCATTCACCATGAGCTCCACAACATTCCACTCTTCTATCTTCTCTAGGACGACCTTGTGTCCACCTTTGGCCAACACAGCTGAAAAATGGAGAGGGAGGCGGTTACATGGGGACAGACCCAACTAACCTGATGCATAGGTGTTCTGGACACAGCAGCCTGGGTGCTTTGCAGACCTTGCTGGCTGTAGTGTCACCATCTGGTGGGACTCCCTGGTGCTGGCCCCCATGTGCCCTCCTCCACTTCACGGGGAAGCACAACTAGATGCCTGCACAACTTGGGTCAGGGTTGGGAATTACCCCAGGTTCATAGGATCTGCTCAACAGTGACCTTTCTTTAGGAAGAATGACTAGGCTGCCACCGGCTTAATCTTATGGCGACCATGTGTGGGGACTCAGGGACTAGGAAATTTCTTGCCCTGTTGGTAGAAATATAATTGGTAGCCCTTCTGAAGAACAATTATTAGGAAAAACCTAAAACCTCAAAAAACAATTCTAGTGTTTGGCCCAGGAAATTACACTTAAAAGAAAGCCCCATAAGGAAAAAAAAAGTCAGAAATACCAGCAGATTTTTGCAACAAGATGTGCTTCTATATTATTAGAATATCAAAATTCTATGTACAACTTAAAATAAGAAGAGGATGGTCAAGTAAACAGTGGTGTGTTCCCACGATGAGATTTTATTTGGACATGAAAAAATGTTTACGAAGCTGAGAACACGCCTGTAATCCCAGAACTTGGGAGGGAGGCTGAGGCAGGAGGATCTCTGTGAGTTTGAGGCCAGCCTGGGATACATAGTGAGTTCAAGGCCAGCCTGAAGTGCATACTGAAACTGTCAAACAAAAACAAAAACAAAGAGGGCCAGGGATTTAGCTCAGTGGCCTGCCTTGAAAGCACAAGGTCCCGAGTTCAATCCCTGGTACAAAAACAAACAAACAAACATACTAAAAACTAAAAATATTTTTAAACTTTTGAAATAGCAAGAATAATATATACAAAAAACCAGAATACAAGTATGTATAATACATATTAAAATATGTATCCAATATTAATTAAAATATATGTAAGAAAGAAAAATGCTCTGTAGTTATGTCTCTGTGGTGAGATTATATGAAACATTTTTTCTCTTTATTCTTTTAGCATTTTTCTAGATTGTCCAAAATCATCAGGAAAAAAGTTCTTTTAAAAGGCAAGTGGTCTAACTTTTTCTTCTCCCCTGTGGAACCTCCAGTTCGGTTACGGATTCTGTCCAATGGCTCCTTTCTTCCTTAGAGATTGGCAGGCCGTGGTGCCCCGCCCCCCCAGCCTGAGGGTCTGTTTCCTCCAGGGAGCTCTTCCTGATTTTCCTGGGCCATTCATCCTACACATGGGCCGTGGATTGGACTGCTGAATCACTGTTCTCAGCATCTGCAAAGGCTGATGATGACTTCAGTGGGATGGAAATGAAATCAGGCAGGGGACATGTTTTTTAAAGTCTGAGCGTTTCAATCAGTCTTGGGTGGAGAAAAACAGACACTGATGTCAGTTAATTGCATTTAATTACAGAGACAATTGCTGTTTCAAAACGTTGGTGTGTCCACTTCTTCGTCTTTCAATCAGTTCAAGAACCTCCATCCCCGACTGTGAGCGTTTTAATTGCGTGATTTTAATTTCATTTCTGGAAAGAAAGTTCTGAAAGACCCAGCAAGTGTCTCCATTAACACCACAGCGCTCCGTGGGCACCCAGTGGTGGCCCTAATTGACCTGCGTCAGTGTGTCTCTCTGAAGACACCTGCGTTGTTTTCTTTGGCATATTTATGTTATTGTGTCCTTCCTAAGTGTCTCATTCTTAAACACCTTCAAAGAAGGTGCTGGACTTGGACTGATGACTTGTTTCCATGAAGCAGTTGCTGGGGGCAGGGTGGGGGGACAGCAGCTACTCAGAGGGACATGCACAGCAGTTGGGAGCACAGACTTCTGGGTCACAGGTCCCCTGCGGGGCTCCAGGACAGAGCAGGTAAAGGTGGGGAGGCAGAACTTGGTCTCCATGACCAGCTTTACACTGTCTGAAGACACTTCCAGGGTGAAGATTTCCATCTGTCAAGAAGAAATCAGGACCAAACACCTTCTCCATCCCCCATATTACAGCCCCATCTTGGGGGGTCAGGGGAAGCTTCTCTGCCATCAACATCCAGGCCAACCCTAACTGTTCTGGGTTTGGAGCTTGTTTTAGGGGGGCAGGGTCACTCTTCCAAGGCATAGTATAGTTAAGAAACAGGACCCACCAAATAACTCACCCTATGGAGTTGGTGGTGGTGGCAGTGGGGTCTCCCTTGTCCATGAGTGACTGAAGCCCAGGGAAAGACATCCTTTTAGGGGGCCAGCTCTCTCTAGTCCACCTTCTGGGGCTGCCAGGCACAGGCTATCCTGGTCCCTGTGGGCCTGCACCTTCCTCCCTGACCACAGTGCCATTGTGCCCTCTCCCAGGTGCTCAGAGTTAATTCAGCTCCCTGGATAAAAAAACTCAGGATGATGCTGCGCGTCACCATGGATCTGTGGACCTATGTGACCCAAGTCTGATTTGTTCCCTTCCCATCGGTCCAGGATGTACTGAGCCCGGCTGTGGTGTGGCCAGCGAGGCTTAGGGGATCAAAACAGCAGCATTCCCGGAGTTCCCGCAGCTCAGCCAAATACCACCGCTCCAGTGGGTCACCCGGTCTCCAGGAGCTGCTGTGGGGCTGGCTATTCAAAGAAAGGTCAGACAGACACACTCCCGAGACAAAGCATGGGCAAAGACAGCGCTAAACCTGGCATCAATCAGCCCGAAGCTGTAAAGCCGCCCACAGAGTGCCTGCCTCTTTGAAGTGGCACCTCGTTCTTCAAGAGGGATCTGGACAGAGTGAGGGGACACGGAAAAGGCTCTGTCCTCTCAGTGCTGGCGGAACTGTACACCATCTGTGGGGATTTAAATGCTGCTCAGCAGGAAGTAAAGATGCGGAGACAGACAGGTCCTATCCCTCCCTCAGCACAGATATGACACCAAAGACCATGAATGATGCAGATGTGCCTGAGCTAAGCAAACAAATTCTGTGTTAAAGGGTCTGCCCAGGTCCCTCCAGCTCAAGTATAGCATACAAGGCCCAACCACCATCTGGCAGTTACCTAGGACTTAGTGCTAAGCTTCAGTTCAGTTTCATCAGCATTTAGGCCAGAGGAAGACATTTTTGCTGAACTACTCTAATACATGGATAATAAAGAACAAAATTTGCAGATTGCTCAAGGTTTGGGAAGTTCGGAACAGAGCAGGTGTGTTTCCAAAGATGCGCAGCTCCCAGCAGTGGTGAAGGACTATGATTTTTCACAGTGACACAGTGTTTGGATGAAATTCTGCAGCCGAGGGCCTGCTAATCGATCTGCTTGTTGTGGTGTGAACTGTGGTCTGCAGTGGGGTATGGGGTGGGGGACAGGGAGGGGCGCATGTGCTTTATGCTTTGCTGCTGCTAAGCCCCGGTCCCTGTCACTGCCCAGGGAACCTTGACGGTGGTGTTGGATGAATCATCATGTGTGACACAGAGCTTACTTTACACATCAGTCATCTGCTGGCACCTCACTGTCCATAAGTCCCCTTCAGCCACAAAACATGCTCCCCTGGGGGATGGACAGCCTGCATGCACCCCCAGGCTCAGCTCCAAAACTGCTGTACCTCCTGACAAATGTGCCCCGCCACATCCAGAAGGCCCACATGTTCAGGGGCTCACTCAATTTTCCCGGCCCTCTCTGACCAATTTCTCCTGTCTCCCTTCTTGAAAATGCTTTTGTTGGAAAAAATAAAGCAATAC